AAGCTAACTGAAAGGAGCGCTGAGCAGAGTTACAACCAGGGATTACAAATAATTACTTTTTTTATTCTGCAGTTCTGCGCCCCTCCAGCAGATGGCACTCTAGGTGACCGCCTAGTTCTCCTATGCCAAGAGCCGTCTCTGAGACCAGTTATCTCTTATAAAACCTTTGAAATGAAACAAACATCTCATAGTTTTACAGCTTTAAATAACTTCATGTCATTCTGTAACTAACTCAAAACTTTCTGCAGAAATGTTGTTTTTCTGCAGCTGATGAGAATTTATTTGATTTTATTCTAATTTAAACTCAGAAAAATGACAAACATTTTGATGTTTCTTCACCAAAGAGACTCCACCTGAACAGGTGTGTTTAATGTTTCTGATGCACTAATGTTGCACATTTTATGTTTTATGGCCCTTCTGGCTTTCCATACTTATTTATTTTAGTTTTATCACTGTACGGTCAATTTAATCAGAAAACAACAAAACCTCTCTGGAAATTAAGTTTGTTAAAACTCATCAAACTCAGTTTATTACATTTGAATTGTTTTATTTTATTGTTTCGTCTAATAGTGTGAATGCCTCAAACATTCACACTGTTTTCATGTTTCTCTTTATTCTTTATTAAACTTCCTGTTTCTTCCGTACGTTTTTTTGGATTCTCTCGTTCCGCAATTTATACATCCAAACGTTCAGCTCGGTCAGGAGATGTGTGCTGTATCTCTTGGTATTCATACCTTTTAAACTTTTTTGAGATATTCAGCTTTTTCTGCAATTTTTGCTCCCATTGAAATACATGATGATGTATCAGTGACATCATGATGATGTCATCAGTCACATCAGTGACATCATTAATTTGTTTCTTAGCTGTTCTTAAAGTGATCATCAAGAGGCATTCAGACCAGCATTTTCACTGGAAATTCAAATTCTCTAGTTTTCCATGTTTTAGTTTATTCTGTTTGATTTTATTCAAACATTTCAAACGTAACAGATGTTCAGGAGCGTTGAAGCTGAGGTTTAATATGATCTGATGGACTCACGGTTGTGTTTTCTGTAGATATCATATTTCACATCAGGCTGCAGCCTCCTGGTGTCAGCAGACAGAGGCAGAGCGAAGCAGGAGGAGAATTAGCTGTTTTCATCCACTGATTAATGACTTTCTAAAGCAAAGCACATGGAGAGGCGCCGGCCGATCGATAAATTAACTGCCCAAATTCATCATTTTCTACAACAAAACCTAATTATTTAGACGGCTGCAGGAAAAGAAAAAAACAAACACGTTATTAACAGAGTTCATTTAGTGAAGCTGCGTGGGACACGACTGCACATCTGCTGTTTTCATTTAAAGCAGCTGCAGAAATGAAGACTGAAATATTAGAAATAAATGATATTAAAAATAAAACTGAAACATTAAATACAAACAAACCATAAATAAAACCTCCATTAAAAATAAATAATAATAAAAACCCAGAAATAAAACAAAGTAAAACTGTTTAAAACCTGTTTGAAGGAGGAACCAGAGCAAAGACTGAGGTCTACCCACAATGCACTGCAGCTGGACCACCAAGTCCACATGGACCAACCAAACTGGGTCCAACAGAACCCTGACCCAGAACCCAGCAGCTGGTCTACAACAGAACATGTGAGAAAGAGAAGAACCAGGACCTGTGCTGGTCCAGAGTCCAGAGTCCAGAACCTGAACCTGACTGAAACCCTGAGGAGGACCTTCAGAGAACTGAACCAGTGATGGAGAGAAGAGTGGACCAAAGATCCTGGACCAGGAGAGACCCTGAGGTCTCTGAGGCTGAGGTGAAGACAGGGGACATGATTCATGTGTTCACAACCCACCGTCAGCTGGACCCTCTGGACTCTGAGGGTCCTTCAGCTAGACCCTCAGAGGCCAGCTGAAAGACCCTCAGAGTCTAGCTGGACTCTGAGGTCAGCTGGACTCTGAGAGTCTTTCAGCTGGACTCTGAGGTCAGCTGGACTCTGAGAGTCTTTCAGCTGGACTCTGAGGGTCTTTCAGCTGGACTCTGAGGGTCTTTCAGCTGGACTCTGAGGTCAGCTGGACTCTGAGGGTCTTTCAGCTGGACTCTGAGGGTCTTTCAGCTGGACTCAGAGGGTCTTTCAGCTGGACTCTGAGAGTCTTTCAGCTGGACTCTGAGGGTCTTTCAGCTGGACTCAGAGGGTCTCTCAGCTGGACTCTGAGGGTCTTTCAGCTGGACTCTGAGGGTCTCTAAGGGTCCTTCTCTCTGCAGGTTCATTCAGGTTTTATTGCTTGAATCCAGGAGGGTTTGTTAGAGCAGGTGACACTAATTCAATTAAAACATTTGTTCTTCATTTACACTCTGCAACACACACACACACACACACACACACACACACACACACACACACAC